TACAGGAGGCTGCCACTGCAGCTGAGCCTGTGCTTAAAATGAAGGGATTGTCAGCATAAGCTTAATTTCAAATCTGTCTGTTACTTTGAGAGAATAGCCTTTTACTGGTTTTACAGAATTTGGCAGGCTGAGTTTGCGAAGCTGTTGTTTAGGATTAGGGATCAGGGTCAAACAAGGATGAGATGTTTTCTTGGAAGAAATTAAATGCTTCACTGTACCCATGTTTATTTTTAGAGTGAAATTGCTTTATGACTTCCTAATGAGCTTAAAAGTTGACAAGGATTTAAGCTGTATCTTGAAATACCCTGAACAGTGAGAGATGGCACCTTAGCTAGTCTGAAATACAACTCCAAGCCACTAGCAAACAACTTCACCTAGTGTACTGTTTATCTGTCTGATTAGAATAGCTATCCTCCTAGTTAATATTCACAGAAAGCAAAGTTTCTGGTTACAGGCACCCTGTATTTTCTTATTTGAGACGAGTGTGAAGAAATGTCAGGAGATAATCCTGCCTTGCATTGTGAATTGTCAGGAGGAAAGGGAGCCACTGCTGTATTGTGATTGTTTGTGCTGCTTCCCATTGATCAACTAAATTGACAATCAGCTCCACTGTCCTGAGCAATGTGGTTTAGAATAACCAGAAATATGGGCTATTTACCAGCAAATAGTGATATCTCTGAGTGTCAGTACAGTCGAAAATGTGATTTAACATGAAATTTCTTGCAAGAAAAGGCCAATCATGCCTTCCTTGTACAATACAAATAATCCTGTGATGGGGTTATCATCTTTTCAAGACTCACAGAAGGGTCTACACATGACGCTGCCATACTGTCCATTTCCATTTCCTAGTATTTTTAGCCATCCTAAAACAGAGAAATGAAGAATCCCAAGGGGGCAACCTTCTTTGGCAGCAGAAGATGAATCAGTGTGTCCAGCATGAACAGTCTTGTCCTATCCTTGTCTTTTTCCACCTTAGATCTAATAGAGATTGTGATATCTGGGTTGCTGGTAGCAGTAGCGTATCTGTGTGTTTGTGTGTGTGAACATAACCGTTCTGCATTTAAATAGGAAAACTGAAACTTAAAGAACTGTTAAATCTGAATCAAATACCTGTTAAAACATGTGAAAGTCACCATGTTCTTCGGATTGCCACAAACTTGCTGAAAATTGTATTTGTTAGTTTGTTTTCTCTATTGATGTATCTTATTTATTTGGCATCAGGCTGCTTTTTGCCATTGGATTTGTATCACTGTAAGAAAATGCAGAAGTAAGATTTAAAGAAAGCTTCAAAGAAAGATAAAGGTTACTTTGAAAAATTACTTCTAAAATTCAGTGAAATTTAGGTATGTAAGCAACCTTGATACAACTTGTCATATATAAACTTCTGAGCTAGAAAGGTGGAGTATTTTGGATGCAAATAAGTAATGGGCATTTTGGGATAACTGAACTATAATCACTTTGTAAATCAGCAATCCTTAAAAGATCAATTAAGTGTTGTGCTTTCTATAGGTACCATTCAACAAAAGAAACATTTTATTTTATGAATAATGAAGAGGGGAGTGACTTAATAGTTTTTTTTTAACTCAGGCAATGAGATGAGATGGTCACCGAAGGTCTAAGTACTCTTGTTTGTTTTCTCAGTAGTACACTTTATTGAAGACTGTTGTCGATCATTAATTCTTCTTTACGATGCTGAAGGTAGGCTTGGTCCCATGTTCTTATAAGTCCTTAAAGGCTTTCACTATTTTCAGCAGCCTCTGCTTGCTCTTTGTATCTCCAGTAATGCCCATTAACTGGCAATGTGTCTTTGTGGGACTGAAGATACTTCTAAGGGTAAAAATGGGAAATGCAGTATTTGCAAGAATCTAAAATACCTCGCAGAACTTGCCAGACAGTTTCTGCACTTATATACCTCAATTGCTTTCTTAAAAATCTGTTCATTGTCTTTTTTTTTTTAATGTCCTCTTTCTCTCAGGACTCTATTAAGTGGCTTCCCAAGTCTCCTAAACTGTACAGTGGCCATAACTGGAGCTCCCAGGGCTCTCGCTGGGCCTCATTGAAAGGGAAGGAAGGTTTTCATGGTGGTAACCTGTACAAACTCAGCTCTGCTAATGGAAAATGGAGAGAAGGAAGGATCAGTCCCGAGCAAGAAGCAGAGGAACTCGAGGATCCTGATGATGTAAGTACTCTTGAAATCGGGAGAAAGAATGTGTATCTGTGAAGAGGCTGTAGCTGCTCACACTGCTGTGCAGCAGGGAATTTGGGTTTGAGGAACCTACACTGCTTATACTCTCATGGCCTTGCTTGTGCAGAGGGTACAGAGCTATGTTCAATGTTTTATTCCTTCACTTTGCTTGCAATTAATTCATCCAACGCTCAAGAATACAGTTTGACCTGCAGGTTAAGATGAGTAACCTGAGCAATGATGAGACATGTTTTTTTACTTTACTCCTGCTTATGCCCCCAGTTAGCAAGCTCCCTACATCTCTTCCAGGTAAGTGGGTTGCTGGCAGCACCCGGGGCTCAGCATCTCCCTAGGCCTGGATGGTAGAAAAGTGAGGTTGCTGTGCTCCTCCACTGCATGTTAATTTTGGGTGATGCTCTTCCAGGATGCTGATGTCTGTGAGCCCCTGCCTGCTGTAATTTCTCCAGCCTGCGCCTGCCAGGTGTCTGTCACCTGTGCTGCAGCCTGGCTGTCCTCTTGGTCCTAGCCAGGGAAAAGGAGGTGGTGATTGCACTTTTGCAGCCTTTTCCTTTCAGGGCATTGCTTGCCATTCTTCCTGATGTTAGCTGGGAGATGAGGCAGGAACTGGGGCTCCTGCTCCTCTTCCATGACCTCTGCTTCCTTCCTAGCACCTGTGGGTGCTGCTGGTGTGCCCCCTCCTGCAGCCCCCAGTCCTGGCTCTTGCTCATGGCCTTCATCCCCACAGCACCACAGCACTGCAGACGTGTCTGGGTTAGTCAGCCTGGCATTGTTAGGAGAAATCTCTCTCAAGAGAAAAAAGGTAATGAATGTTTTATGTGAGTCAAAGCTAAGCAAATTCCCTTTTAAGTGAAAATCGGAAGCAATCATGCCTCGTGTACTTTCCCTGGGGTTGGCAATGCTTCTTTCCATCCCAACCAAAAAGAGATTGTGGAAAAGTGCCAATATAGATTGAAAAATAAACTGTCCAGTGGGGTTCTGCACAGCTGCTCAAGGTAATGCCACTGCTTTTTATTTTGGTATTAAACTTCTAAGCTTAGAAAAACACTTAAGGGGTTTATTTTCAGAGGTGTTGATGTGTGTTTGCTGCATCATTTTACTGCCAACAGAAGATAGAAGGATTTGGGCAATATGAAGATCTGATTTTACATGAACCCATCAAATAAGAAAAAATCAGCTAAATATAAGTAAAGCATTCCTAAAATGTGAACAGAATTTGAGATTGTGTCTGAATTTAATTTAACCCTTTGCCGGGAATGACTGATAGCTGGAAGACATCACTTTATTTTGCAGTCAAACTTATCTGAAGTTTTAATTGTTTAGTGGTTGTATTTTAATTGTGTATTTTTCTCTTCAAGCCCTTGTGGTTTAGTTAAACATAGGGTGACATTGTGAGCTCTTCACTGCATCTCAGAGGAGGTTAATCCTAGAGCCTAGAGTAGGCTTTAGTATGCACCACCTTTGAGGTTCCATTTCCAGAGGACTCCTTAATCATTTAAGTTTGCAGGTCTCCACTCACTGCCATTTGCAACAGAAGTCAATCCAATGATTGAAACAAAGTCTTAGATATGTAGATGCAAGGTAGGGGCTTGCCTTCCCTCTCACACCTATGCTTCCAAAATGGAATGTGAGCTTTGAGGACCTGTAAGAAGTGTTTTATTTTCTGTATGGAAATAGCTTTCCTTTGCCTTGTGTGTGTGGTTTCTTCCCCCAGAAGTGTGGATTCAGTGCTACAGAACTGCCAGAGGCTGCCCAAAATAGTCTTGTTCTCATGCTCTGCCATTTTCACAGGGCATTGCAGGATTTATGCACATATGGATATGTGTGTGTTACATGTGCTTGTGTTGCCAGGGAATCTAGTGAAAGGCTAAGCGAAATCCCAGTCCTCTCCCTGTTCCCTCAATTTCAACCCCAGTGTCGAGGGCAAAACATGCCCAGAGAAATAATGGTAAAAGAAATCTTTGTATGTTTTCGTAAAGCTCCAGTTTTGTCTTCAGTGAAATAAATTCTATCATACAACAATGTGAGAGTGAGGAACAAGTCCATGTTAGCGCAGGTAAGGTCTGTGTTTCAGATTCTCCTTGCTGTTGCTGTGTTTACCTTTTTTATCTTTAACCCTCAGGAACCTATTTCCAAGTTTTCCGGCAGCCTTTTTGATAGCAACGAAAGCACGCGAGATCAGAGAAATACCAGAGCAACGCTTCAAGAAAAGCACAAGTTGGCAATGAGGGGGAAGACTCTTCCAGGATCCAGCAGCCGGGCGCAGCCGCCAGCGGCCGCAGCAGGCGGCTTCGCCAGCGAGGGCGGCCGGGGCGCGGAGGAGCTGCGGGCGCTGGATGTGCCGCAGCCCCCGCTGAAGGTGTGGAGCTGCTGCGTGGGCTGCGCCGGCTGCTGCTGGGGGCCCTGCGTGTCTCGGGGGCAGTCCCTGTGTCTGGGGGGAACTCCTCTTGGGTGAGGCAGTTTATGGAAGATGCAAAGAACGGGGGACATTGCATGGCAGGTATCATGAGGCTTACCTTAAAGAGAGTAAGCTGAGGGTTGTCATTGCTCCCCATGGCTTACATGGAAAAAGAATTTCCTATTAAAAAACCCCAATAAAGCCCACTTTCCTTGTAGTCATGTATCTCACTTTATACACGCAGCTTTGGTATTGTGAAGCCAACTCAAAGGTAAGTGCAGGTGGGCACTGAGCTGAGTCTTCGTTCAGTCCGTGGTTTCAAAGCATGGTGATAAGTCTTGTATGTGCCAGTGTTGAAGTGTAGGCTGGGCTCTCCAGGGGCATGTCTGCTGGTGTTCAGAGTGGGAGGTAGATTTTCAATGCTCACATAATTAATAGGCAATATTTTTATTAATCAGGTCACTTAACCATTGTAATTCTTTTCCAGGTGACCATTACGGTGTGCAGTCAACTGGGGAGTCTTGGTATTAGCATTGCTGGTGGAAAGGGCTCATCTTCATGTAAAGAAAGTGACGAGGTGCATTTCAATATTAAAAATTTATCTAGTGATTGTTAGGAATAAACCGATGAGTAGTTCCTTGAGTTATTGTGTTTTGTTGTTTGCTTTCTGAGATTGTCCTTCCTGTAACATTTCCATCTTTCTAAAGCTAACAAGGGTAAACATAGGTAGCTTATTTCCCAGAGTAGAATCTGGAATTAGATTTTGATGGACAGCTCCAGAAAGGATGATTTGGGAGAGATGCCCGAATGTAAACCAATGATTTTGAAAAGGCAACCTGATGGTTGGAAACATTGTTGTCTAATTCTCATTTTCTGCCTGAATTTAGGGTCACTCCCTTGGCAATCCACATGCCTCTCCCATCTCATTTTCTTATTCCCAGGAGCTAACTTGATTTAAGAGAAATATTTCACACATCTCCTCACTGATTGATCTTTTAAATAAATCTTTGTTTTCCAGTGTGTTCCCCATGGCACAGTGTAAACAATTACTGACTTTTGTTCATTGTTGTATGTGTCAGCTGTAGAGGCATTTTTTTTTTTGTCTTGCTAATGGGCTAGGCATTTAGTTTTTCATTTTATGCAGGCAACAAAACAATAAGTCTTGAAAATTAATTACTTCCCGTTTGCTTTTTACATCATTGGGAGTACAGTGGGAGAAACTGTCAGTTCTGAAACCTATGTTTTGTGTTACCAGGGAATCCTGATTGCACGGCTGCCAAAAGATGGTCAATCAGACTTGGCTGGTGTACAAGCAGGAGACAGAGTGGCTGAGGTAGATGGGTTGTTTGTCACTGTGGAATGTGTTCTCTTCTTGTTGTCTTTAAATCAAATCACTTAGAGTTGGGGAACTTGACATCCAGATCTAGGCTTGCCTTAGCCTTCTAGATGCTTGCCATTATGAAGAAATTATAAAAACATTAAATTTTTGTATTCCTTCTTACTATGTTGTAGTTGTCAGATCTTTATGTTCATAGTATTTAACAAAATATTATTTACTTAAATGAATGATTTACAAAGGAAAATAATGGTCTTAGTAAGTGATTATGTAAGTATAAATGCAATATGTGATCCAAGAAGTTTTCCTGTGACAGGGTATTAGATTTACTAGATAAGTTGATTGCAGTTACAACAAAGAATTATAAACTAGGTGAGCTTTTTTCCCCAAGCTAGTTTTTGGTGGGATAAGAACAGCTCAAAGTAACTCCCCTGATGGAGGTTTGCAGTGCCAAGGGATAAATGTGCCCCTCAGGCTGCTCCACCTCAAGCCTCATCTTTCCTAGCAGAAGCCACATTCTTGAGCTTCAGAATTTCCCAACAACAATGGGGAAAAAATGGTCACATACAGTTTTGTGTTACATACTTTTGATATACCATTTGGTTTCTACCTGCTGAGAATGGTGGAGTAGGAAGAGAACCTCTACAAAATTACTTTAAGGTGAAATTGATGCATATTTTTTTCAGCTCTTGTTCTCTTAAACTGTCATTTATACTTGGTTAGATTAATAGTTTTTATTCTAGCATGGTCAATGTTGAATTAAGGTGGGATAGAGCAAGCAATATTGTATGTCTGTTAAATTGTCAGGAACAATGATACTATCTGTATCAGCCAAAGACTTTAACGATAAATTAATCTACTAATTTTGTAAAACTATGCTATGGAGTTATTAATAGAGGGTGATGTTCCATAATATGTAAATATTGTGTTAGTTTGACAGTTCTTAAAAGGTTAATTGTAGATAAACATCTGTATAATTTTACATTTTTTCTTTTATGAAAGGCATTGTAACAAATGGGAGAGAATGTAAATAATTATCTACATATTTCACATTATCATATGATTGGGGAAAAAAACAGGATTTTTAGTTGCTGTACCTTTACCTTCTGAGCAGAGTTTCTGGTCAAGTTACTATCTTAAAAATCAACCCCATTGCTCAGGTTCCTCCATGAGGCTATAATTAATTATTTATTTTGGGGACTATTTGGAATATACTTTGTGTTAATGTCTGTTCACTTAATGGATAGTGAAACAAGTAAAAAAGAAGAAATTCTGTTCCATTCTGTTCTACCCTGCTGTTTTTGTGCAACTAGTTAGGATTTCTCCATCTCCCACAAGATGGCAGAATCATTCATCTGTTTAAAGAATGTAGAAAACAACTCTCTGTTTTTTGTGTGTGTGTGTGTGAGACGAGAAAGAATTAATGAGGTGTGCTATAGAAATACTGCTGTTTTGACCACAGGACTAATCTGTGTACAAATAACAAGCACTTTCCTCTTACACTATGTGTAACAACTTCTTATTCTTGAACTGGCAATTTCAACAGTTCAAATATAAAATTCACCAAAAATGAGAAGCAGCAAGAACTGCAATTTTATTTGCTGTTGTTGTACAACCACATGTAGCAATAGGGCCAGGTGTTTGTATGCTAACTTGAGAGGGAGGGAACTCCTCTTCTTAAACAACATTCAGAATAAAAATATGTTTCTGGTGTTTTCTTTTAAAGGCAACCTTTGTTTCAGAGCCTGCTGCCCTTGATGCTGGTCCTACTGAAGCGTCCCCCAAGGCCAGCCCCTCCCCGACAGTCAACCATGTCATAACAGTAAGTAGGATGGCCCCAGTAAATAACAAGTCACTCTTACCTGAGAAATTTGTGTTGTCTTAATATTTTTGTTGTCTGTATATGAATGCTAGTAAAGACTGACACAGAACTCAACACATATCAAAGATCAGATACCATACCTGGTGTTTAGATGGCTGTCACTGCAGCTGGGACATGGCTTCTGGAGGAGCTCAGCTCCTGGGTGAGCACCCAGATAGCAGAGCAGAACTTTTGAAGCAGTCTTGTTTGGGGAATTTAGGGTGGTGTCCATTTCCCCAGTCTGAGTCATTCTGTTGTCTGGACCCTGTCTCTAGCTAATGGAAGGAGCAGCATTTCCAGGGTCCCTCTTTTAGGAGGGAGAAGGTGAACTGCTACCTGGAGGTGACCATTTTCATATTCTGATGGAAGAGGGTACTTATGTCACAGGCTAAGACATGCCTGTATTTTAGATGGCTGGTGAGAGAAAGCCTATTGCACATTATGTCACAGAAGGCAACAGCTGAGCCTGCAGGGTGGCTCTTAGAAATCCACTTTTTTGAACTTCTCTATCAAGTTCAACTCTCTGAAGACCTACCCTAATCTTCTATGTGCATCACTGAAACTATGGCTTTACTAGGAAGATACAATAAGATCAAGGTATCTGAACAATAATTAAGGTCAAAAAGCATCTTGTATGGAGCTTGAAGTACCAGGAAGCAGCAGCTGTTTCTCCTATGGTAAATGCCAGAGAAATGCTTTGATTCCTCTTCTTTCAGTTTTCGTTAAATCTTTCTCCATGAATATCATTCACAACCCAGCTAATGGCCCAAAAGTCAAAGTATGTCTATTATATAAAAACTATAATCAAAGACCATATCAGTTTTTATTAACCATTTCGATAACTAGCGTGATTTGTTAGTTGACTGAAAAAGTGAACAAATAGATCATGCAACTGTTGTTCTCTGGTTTCCTCTGTTAGTCACTGACATGTTGAGCTACAGTTCTTGTCCATGAGATAGACTAAGAAAGGCTTTCCCTTCTATTAGCTTCTTAAAGAAACTTATTTTGAGGCCTCTGGCCTCCAACATCATCTTGAGATCATGATTTAGACCAGTTTTATTTTCCAGCTTAAAACTTCCCAAACTTTCATCAGTTTGGGTTTTTTTTTGTTCAGTTTTATCTGGTAGCTGTTTTTTAGGTTTTATCAGCATTGCAGGAAATATGAGGCTTTTTGTTAGAGGAACCACACCTTGGAAGGTTTATTCATGCATTGGTGTTGGCATGGATCTGTTGCCGTAGTATCTGACTTCTAGTATTTTCATCCAAAAAGGAGAAATTACTGCATTTTTATGTTGTATGCCTCCCTTTAAAGTTCTTCAATTGTAGTCGGGGGAGAAGGCAGATTAGACTGAGATACTTAACTTGGAGCAGAGTACTCAGAGGGAGTCAACTGGCTGAATATGTTCCGAGTGTCAAAAGTAACCAGTGTGCAAGTTCTTTTGTGAGAAGCATTTGTATTTCTGGTTTTGTTTCTTTTGAAATCAAAATCTTTGGATTGTAGCAAATGATATGTTATTTCCTGTAACCTGGAACAGCATTAATCAATTTTAGGGATTATGCATTTGTGGGGAGTATCCTGCTGACTTGGGGCTGCTCAATTCCTCATCTGTTCTCACTTTGAAGTCCCTCTCATTCCTCAGTAACTGAAGGAAATCTTATTATCTGAAAAATGTTTAGAGCTTGGCTTCTCATGGAGGAGTTGCTTTGCATTTTCAGATAAGCAGGTGGCAGTAGGACCTTAATGCAGAATCTTCTGTGCTGGGAATATAGGAAGGTTCATTTCCTTTGTGTTTCTGATCAGGTTTCAATAGAAGATGTTGTGTCTACATCAAGGGAGGGAAGGATTGAAGCATAATGGCAGAGAAAACAGAGACTCCTATTACTATTCTGCAAAAACTGAGTATGTGCCAGATGGTGTCATCCTCTCCCTCTCTTCCATGTCATCATCCTGCTTTCCAGCAGATACTCTCTTCATCTGTTTGTTTTTATTGCATTTATTAAACATCCTCTTTGCATATGCACTCTGTGATAATATTTGTCTCATTCTTGCTAGCCACAGCCCACCCCATCTCTGAGCCAGCTGCTCTGGCATTACAACAGGCAATGCTGCTGCCAGTTCAGGTTTCCTTTCTGTTTTCCACAGGCATGGTTGCTCTAACTGCTTCTAAAAGGCTCACGTAATTGTTAACTCATCCAGCCAAACTCAATTTCAACCCCTTTGTGTCAGCTTTAAGATTTCATGACAGTGTGAATGACCAGTAATTAATTGGACAAACGAAATGTTCTTTCACAGTGAGTCATTGTTTTGCAAAGGAAAAATGAGAATCTTGCTTGGTTTTAATTATAATTGAGTATTTTGCTGACATGTAGATAGAGGGCTCAGAACTTTAATTACAAATAGATAGTTTTTACATACAGTATTTTATAGACTTGCCTCAGTTATGCTAATCACACCTCAAAAACATGAAAACATATTTTACTTTGTTTTATATATGTATTTAAATTGAACTTAAATTAAAAAAAAAAATCAGGGATATAAACAAATGCCCATGCTGACTTTAACAGAAGGAACTTTAACTTGGATTCTGGAGTCTTCATTTCATTTTTGTTGTTTCCTATCCATCCTCTCAAATATAGAGCCAACTCTTCAGAATCTTTCTCTATCATAAATATTTTTATTCAACCTCTGACTGAAATTCCCAGAGGATTTTGTCTTACTGAATGGAGAGTGTTGACAGGTTTCAGCATCTTCTATAATTTCGTAACATGCATCATCATGCCATCTTCTTTGACTCATTTTTAGGGCTATTAACATAATGAGGATATTAGATAGTTTGTAATGAATATCAAGTCTTCAAGATACTTTAATCTAGTATTTAACTTAAATTGTTAGCATGTTCTTTGATTTAATTTTATGCCTTTGCCTGAGAATTTCCTCAATAATATCTTTTCATATAGTTCATCAGGAGAATAAGTATCACTGATACTAAGATTTTCAAGGAAGGTTAAAGTAAGAGTTACCATTTAAAAGTGATTGTGTGAATAAATAAAGAAATAAATAAAATATGAAGCTTATAAGTACTGAAAGAATCTGAAGAACTTCTTTAGAAGGTTAAAAAAGCCAAATTTTTGGCAGCTCTGTTGAAAATGCAGAGATACCAAACGTTCCTAAATCTGCAAAAAAAAAACAACAAACCAAACCAGCCAGACAAGTGTACTAGAACCTGTAACATGTATCAAAATGAAATCCTCTTGTGCCTACAGAAAATGCATAAGCAGATACACCATCTTCCACAGTATTCAGTTGCTGTCTTCTGCCTTTGTCTCATATTGTTCATATGCAAGTTGTGAGAAATCTCACATGGATGAGAATCCCAGCAGATCTACCTTCTTCATTTCCAGGTGATAAACACTTTTCAGGAAGAAACCAAATCTTTAAAAATCTAATTATCAAAACCTTTCTTTATTCATCTGAGCATGTCCTAAGCATATCAGAAAATTGAAATCATACAACATAACATAAAACTTTTGTTTCTTTAATCATTGTCTTACTTTGTTGCATTTTAAAAGCAAACCCAGTGGGGTACTCAGGTCAGAGAAGCAGTATAAAAGGAGACAACTAAAGTGAGATTCAGAATGTCCTTATCATGAACAAAGCCAGGTTTCTTCTTAAGCTTGTTTCAAACAGTAAAGACCTTGCTCACATCACATACAGTGTTTGACTGACCTATAGCACCATAAGGTCTACTACTTTAAGTTTCTTATGAGGAATTGCTTTATCCCTTCTCCAAAATATTTTCATGACTCTTTTATTCTTGTCAGGTAAGGGTTTTGGTGTTTTTATGTTTTTTTTCTTTTTTCTATGCTGACAAGCTAAGTTTGTTTTAGAAGTCAGGGATCTAACTCTCCACAGCCTCGCATCTTGTGCAGGTTTACATATGTTTGCAAAGAAGCTTTGTGAGCCTTGTTGGTTTAGCTCACCTTAGACATCGTGTGAGCTCCAGTGCAGTGTGAGCACCCGTGTGCCATGTGATTGCCTCCTCCATTTCATCTCCTAGTTTGCTTCTGCTTTTATCTGAGCAACTGAGTATTTCTGAGTCATGATGAAAGATGGAAGATAAAAGGTGTGAGTCGCAGACTCTGTGTTTACCTCCATGGTGTAGTGGTTAGGGAACTTATTTTGTGAATTTGAAATTAAGTTCCTGCTCCCAACAAATGCTTCTGTTTGCACAGTGTATCTTTTTCCTCTCTTCCTTTTAAGTGTTTTCCTCACCCTCAGTTAAAACTGACTCATTTCAAACTTTAAGTTCTTGGATTTTGCAAAGCTTGTAATTAACAATGCTAAATAGGAAAAATCTTTTAAAAGGAGAGGACATTAATTGATCTTTTCAAGTTACCATATTAAAATACTTCCAAGTTGGAGAAAATCCACAAAATGAGCCCATCATATGGTAGACAATATAAGCACTGCAGACAACATGAGCAAAAACATGCAAAAGACAAACAGACTCAAGCAAGCACCTTGAACTGTGCTGTAGGATAGAATATTATTTGAGAATGAAAGAGGATAATTATTTAAAAAACTGCACAAATGATAAGCAATGTCCTCCTTGTGAAAGGCATCCTCATGGACTCTGGGAGTACTGCAGGGGAAGAGACTGCACTGAGTTCCTGCAGGCTTTCAGACAACCACTGTCTTTCACAGGGGTGATGAGTTTTCTTCAAAAAATCAAAGGGTTGGCAACTTGGACCATGGGTAGCACTGCTTATGGGGGTAGCACTGCTTATGCCTTTTAAGTCTCCTGATGTGGTCAGAGCAGTGCATTTTCTTTGATGTTTTCATAGCATCAGGCCATAAATGATTACATGCTTCTATGAAAGCACTTATATGAAAATCTGTAAGTCAGGTTCCAGTGTCAGGGAAGTCACTATCCAGTGGTACATTCGAAGACGAATAGAGCAAGGACAATTTTTCATACACAATTTGAATCATCATGCCTTTTGTGTTTGACAGTGTTGCAGATATGACATGATGAGGATTGATCTTCCATTTTTGTTGTGAGTTGACAGAGCTCCATCTTTCATGTCTTGTGCATTGCCCTTGGGAGGCACTTGGCAGAGAGCAAGAACAGAAAGGAGCTTTGCTCTAAATGTGACATGACCAAATGTTATATATCCTGCATGCTGGAAGACAGATGAAACATGCAAGATGTTCTCTTGCTATTCCAAGAAGTCGAGAAAATCCTCAGTTTTAAAACTGGGCTGTAAAATATATCAATATCTAGAAAATTCACACAGAGGAAATTTCCATAGAATCATAGAATAGTTTGGGTCAGAATGTACCTTTAAAGGCTGTCTTGTACCCCACTTGTAGTAACCCCACTTGTAGGGACATCTTACACTAGAACAGATTGCTCAGAGCCCTGTCCAACCTGTCCTTGAACATTTCCAGGAATGGGGAATCCACACCTCTCTGAGCAACCTGTTCTAGTGTTTTACTGCTTGTCAGGTTCATTGAATTTCAGGAAATCACACTGAGCTGAATTAGATTTTAGAGTAAATCACTGTGCACAGTGTTGGAACAGCAACGGGGAAGAGGGATAGGCTGGTGGGGTAGCCCCTTCTCAGGGCTGCACACAAAACTGAGGCAGCACTTCCAAAAGCTTGGTGCCAAAGCTCCTTTCTCAGTGCTTGAGAGTGGTGTGGCTGCTTGAAGGGCAAGGATGAACTAAATTATGTGCTGCCCTCTCCCAGACCCAAGCAACAAGAGGTGTTGTCATGAGCTGGTTGCTCCCTGAGTGCAGCAGCGTAGGTCACACAGACTTCCTTGTGCAGAGATCTTTGGTAGCCAAGGGTAATGAGGTGCTTCATCCATGCCCCATCAAAGATTTATCTTCCCCAGAGCACAGGAAAGGTTTATACCCCTCTCCCCATCTGGCTTTATGATTTCTGGCGTTTGGCCAGAGGTCAAACACAGCAGTGAAATAGCATTGTAAAGTGCTGGGGAAAGGGATGCAGCCAGGGATTTCTATGAGCAGGGGAGTTGAGGGTACACCATAAAACACATGCTTCTTGAAACGTCCCTGATATGCTGTGAAAAGGGAGCTGTGTTGAACGCCTGGAAGGGGTTTCCAGATTCATTTGCTTTCATACACAGCTGTGCATCAGTTGGGTTCTGCCCCACGCCCCTCGACCCTGCCCCAGCTGTGTCCAGCTGCTGTGCCTGCTCCTGCCTGGAGGTGGGACTGCTTGTGAGTAATGAACTCACAGGGAACTAATTGGATCTCTTTCTCTCTCTTTGACTTGTATTTACTTGTTTCTTTTTGGGAGTAAGGTAGTTTTTTTTCTACTGCTGCTGCCATTACTTCAATTAAGAATGCCATTGGTTTTGTTGTGAACTGTGCAGCTCAGATCTGCTCCTTCTCTGCTGTTCTGTTGCATGCATTTTTGAATATTCTTTTAAAATTTTTTATTTAAAAGTCCAACTGTGTAATATTTTTTAGGCATGAGTAAATGCCCTACTTTACTAAATTTGATTTAGTTTCTTCTGTGAATACAGTCATTATCAAATATGATCTTTTGCATCTAGCAAAGTACTGTTTTCATTGTTTAGTGAGAAGTCTAAATTTCCTGTTCAGGTCTAAAAAACTACTTCCATACCCAGCGATGACAAAACAGGTATGACTAAGTATAAAATCATAACATTATTCGTTAGGTTTACATAAACCCCTGCACATGCTGTGTTTATAATTTTGTGTTAATAACAACTGTATTGATAATTTTGTTTTCCCCTGTTTTCCTCAGTTAAGGATACCATCCTTAGCACTGAAGCCAGTGCAGATCAGCTGTAAAGTCAAATTTCAAAAATATTCATTATTTAAATACAATTTTCAATATAAGCAGAGCTAGGCAGGCATTCATATTGCAGGTATTTTCTAGCTGGGAATATTTTCTTTTAAAATTTACGTGTTTGAACTAGAGTTAAAAGTATGTCTGGTTTTCTTCCTAGAAAAGGTCAATCCAAATTCTTTTTTCCTGCCCTTATTCCATCAAACTTTGGCCTTTCATGTGTCATTTCACCTTCTGATTTGTAGCCTCTGGCCCCAGCAGCTGGCCTTGCTGCAGCTGTGACTTGCCCTGTCGCTGCTGTCTGTGCCTTTGATGAGAAGCTTGGTTGTAGCTCTGACTGTTGCCTTGAGAACTTCCCTCTCTGGCTAATATTGGAGTATGGACCTGTAGGCTGGGAGAGGCCAGGGGAAGGGAAAGCCTTCTAAAAGAAAAACAAAATGATGGGGTTTTTTCTGTTCAGTTTTAGTTTTGAAAAAATTATAAAAAGACATCATGAACCATCTTTTATGGACTGTTCTGCAACGTTTTGGACAGATACTTTGATTAGAAGTAGATAAGGAAAGCACATGTGTGTATCTGGAAGTTAAAAATTATTGGATGTTAACCTGTTAGCAAGACATCTCACTTACCACGTTTTATTTTAAAAACTGCTTTCAAACATTATAGCTAGTTAATGAAAGAATTTTTGCAGCCAACACTGCAGGTGAATTGCCCCAAGTTGTTTAGATGTCTTTATTTTACTTCTTCTTGCAGAGGACCAGGAGTCCACAGGCAGCCCCCTATCTGTGCTCCAGTTGAAGGACTCCAAGTTTCAATGTAGGCTGTTAATCCCATTAAATGAGAGTGTCTGAAATAATTTGATTTTTAGGTATGTGTGATTCAAGCAAAACTGATTTTTTTTTTTTTTTTTAGTCTAGAAAGTCTTAATGATTATATTAAAAAAAATTACACAAACAAGGTAATGGAAGAAGTTTCCACAGTGAACCCAGTGGTTTTGCTACAGGACATGTCCATTTTGAAGTTTACTTTTTAGGCACTGAAAATGTAATTTCAGGGGAAAATGGAAAAAGAGTAACTTGTTTCAAGTAATTAATGATGCATTTTTCGGAAAAGGTATTCTATATATTTTGACAATTTGAGATTGAATAGTAGTTCCAATATTACTTAAATAATGATATTTAAAGCATGATGATGGAAAGTGAGTAGGAGGACTTTGCAATTTCAACAGAAGAATTTTAAACAAGTTCAAACACTGCTGAGTAACTACCAGTGGAGAAAACAATGGAATAACAGAAAATCTAGATAATTTGTCCTCCTACACTGGCATCATTTTTTTTTTTTTGCAGAATTATCTGTAGAAGATGGAAGTTTCACACCTTCCCACATGCCTTAGACAAGCAACTCAGGTGCCTGTACTGGAAGGGTTTTCATTATTGCCATCCTAAATGTCTCTGTGTTGCCCTGTCTGTAATGGGCAGTGGAAATAGTGTTTCCTCTTTGCTGTGCCATTTTTTCACATAGGAAATCTGTTCTCCTACCTTCCCTCAATCATGCTGCCCCAGGAAATGTACATTCAAATAAAAATAGTAAAGAAAAGCTCCAAGAGCAAAGCTTGCCTATTTAATAGGGTAATGCTGAGGTCAGTGAAGATAAGCAGGGAAATAAGAGAGTGAAGGTAAAATCCCTCCAGGATTCTGGGAAGAGAAGCACTGGGTTTGGGAAAAGGATATAATAAAATATAATGCAAGCTTAGAGTTGTTGAGTTTTATTACTTTCTTTTGTTTGTGGTTTTTGTTGTTGTTGTGTTTTGTTTTAACAAAACTGAAAGACTAAAGGAAGCTGATAAAGCTTATATTGTGATGTTCCTGGAGCTTGGGTGAATGTGAAGGCAGTGATAGAGAGTGCTGGGTTCTTAGGGGAGGGTTAGGTGAAGATAATTAGGCCACTGTGGTTAGAAATGTGATGTGTGTTTCTTACATCCTTTCTGTGTTGGTTTTGGCTTATAGAGGAGCTTAATTTTGCTGCAAGGAGAGTGAGATTAGACGCCTGGGTCTCTTTTCATTGAATTAGATCTTGTACAAACGCATGCTCAATACTTGATTGCATTTGCAATTGCATAAGTGGCACCATCCTCAGCTAAGAGTTGTTTTTTCATTGGTACCTGTGATTCAGATTTGAGGAAATGGGTTCCTCAGCTCCCTGTCATGGAGGAGGATGATTGGCTGCAGGGGAAGGAGCAGCCATGGTTTAGGGACAGTAGTGGCATAGGTTCACCTGGGGTTCCAGAGGGAGAGTGGGCAGGGAGATGTGCAGAAAGCAGAGGGGCAGAGTTACAGCTGCACTTGGACCAGGACATCTGATTTGTTAGAAGGACTCAACAGGATGTCTCCAAATCAGTGTGAGTCAGTGTCTGTGTGAGCTTTCACTTACCTGGAGAGGCACAGAGGGGCTGCTGTAGATCAGACCTGTGCCCACTCTTCTCTTGGGAGTGCAGGTTTCCAGCCTTTAAAACACTTCTGTGTTGAGACACAGTTCAGCCTCTGCTGTAGAAAATCGGTTGTTCATTTAGTGCTGCTTCCTCTTTACCTGCAGCAACATGAAAGATTAGATGTAAGACTTCTCCAGCACCATCTGTTTTGTGGAGCATTTAACACAATCACCTCAAAAATGTTGAGGGAGCACTTTTCATCAATTAAATTTATTTTATAATTTTCAGACCTAATTCCATCATAATATTTGAAAGATAGTATGCAAGCAGTCATGAAATGTTTGAAGAAAATCTCTTTTGAGAATTAAATCTCTTTGGAAACAGGGGAGTAGGAACTATGCTGAAAAAGAGTACTTAAAAAACTGATATTCAAAATGGCTAAGGTCTTTTCTTCAAAATGACAAATAGGTATGGTGACTCTGCACTGCTAATGGAATACATGTCAGTCATGGGGAGGTGTACACGTATCTATTTTTGAACAGCACAGTACACAAAGAAAGGTCTTCCCTGAGCTTTCAACTGACAGCTCAATGAAATGCAAAGCCGGGTCCTGGATATGACTGTAGGTAACTTAGAACATGGACTTCAGTGTTTCTTGAGGTGTCAGAATTTAATTATGTGACCTAGTAAAGCACCTGTATGTACAGGTGTGCATTTGCTGTACAGCAAAGCTGCTGGCTGTTGTTAAACAAGAAGCATCTTTCAGCAAAGAACATAACCATCCAGTGCAAGGAAAGCTTATCAAGGATGTCATGTGTGCATGACAAAATCACATCTTCCCAGGAGCTGTAGCTTTGCCAGTGCTTAGGATCTTATATAGGTTATTTAAAACTTCCAGAAATTATGAATCAAATCCATGTATGCATATTTTACTGACAAATTTAAACATTTATATTTTCTCTTACTGTTTCCCTTAAATATTTTTTGTGTAGTAAAGAAGCTGAAATATGCGATTTTTCAAAGATCAAAGAAGTGCCCTTCTTAATTTAAGCAGAAGAAAAAGAAGGGGTGGGGAAAGGTATATAATTGGGCACTCAGTACTCCAGGGTATACACTAAATTTACACATGGTTTTAAAATTAGTTTACATCTACCAGGGGTGAGATTCAGCTCTGGACTGACACCTGCACTTTGGTGTCTATGTGTAGGATGCTGTGAGCCAAGGGGAGTTGGACCTAATGTCAGGGGAGCCTGGTGAATAATTGATTTTACTTCAATGCAGAAACCTCCTTGCTTCTGAAAGTACAACGGCCCAAAGCATCTATTCCTAAATCAAATAATGTACAGCGAGAAAATAATATATAAACAATTGAATTGTGTGATGTCAACATTAAATGTTCTTATGAGGTAGAAGTAGCTGATAAATAAGAAGTTCTAACTTTCTTGAAAATTTTCATACTGCTAGTAAGATGGCCACTTTATTACACATTATCATCTTACCTGTTTGTTAGATATATTGGCTCACCCTTATATGTTTTCATTACATGTTAAACTTTTTTTGGAAAGCAGTAAAAAGGAGGATGATTTTGTGCATCAGAGTGAAATTTGTAATAATCCATTCATTGATAAGAACGATTACTGATACATTATATGACTATACGTCAAGAGCCTGACACTGGTTTTTTTCCTCAGTTACTGCATTTAAATTAATTTTAAAACATTGCTTAATATGATTAATATGACTTAATATGATTCTCAAAGAAAACAAAGTTCTTCTCCAAAAAAATTATGAATCAAAGCCATGTATGCATATTTTACTGACAAATTTAAACATTTATATTTTCTCTTACCGTTTCCCTTAAATATTATTTGTGTAGTAAAGAAGCTGAAATATGCAATTTTTCAAAGATCAATAATTGATATGATTTATGGTTCTTAATTAATCCTTTATTACTTTCAGGGGGATGAATTGAATGAATTATGAAGTTAAATTAATTTTTCATATTTACTTGCTTTACTTTAAAAAAAAAATCTTAATTTTTTTTTCACCTAGAGAAGGTTTTTTAAAAGATTAGCTAATGAGAGGAAAGGGTAATTTATCCTAATTTTGCTTTATCAATGGCTTTTTGTCATAAAACAAAAAATGAAAGGAGGACCAAGGGGAATCATTCTTTACTGGAAGTGGTAAGAAACAAAAACAAAGGATAAGGAAAAGTCTGAGGTACTTAATGCCTTCTTTGCCTCAGTCTTCAATAGCAAGACCAGTTGTTCTCTGGGTGCCAGTCCCCTAAGATGTAACACAAGGATAGGGAGTAGAATGAAAGCCCCATAATCCAAGGGGAAATGTTCAACACCTGTTGCACAGCTTAGACACACACAAATCCATGGGGCCAGATGGAATCCACCCAGGAGTACTGAGAGAGCTGGTGAAGTGCTCACTGAGCCCCTTTCATCATCTCTTGGCAGTCCTGGCTAACTGGGAAGGTCCCAGCTGACTGCCAGTTGGCAAATGTGATTCCCATCTAGAAGAGGGGCTGGAAGGAGGATCCAAAAACTTCAAATTGACTGGCCTAATCTTCTACTAGTGACCCACTTAGATGTTGTCTACCTAGAATTTAGTAAAGCCTTTGACTTAATTTCTCAGAGCATTCTCCTGGAGAATCTGGCTGCTGATGGTTTGGATAGGGGCACTGTTGCTGGGTGAAAAACTGGCTGGATGGCCCGGCCCAGAGGATGGTGATGAATGGTGCTACATTCAGCTGGTGGCTGGTCACTGGTGGTGTTTCCCAGGACTCAGTACTGGGGCCAGTCATCTCCAACATCTTCATCAAAGATCTGGATGAGGGGACTGAGTGCACCCTCACTAGGTTTGCTGGTGACACCAGGCTGGGTGGGAGTGTTCATCTGCTGGAGGGCAGGAAGGCTTAGCAGAGGGATATGGACAGGCTGGATTGATGGTCTAAGGCCAGTTGTGTGAGGTTCAATGATGCCAAATGTCAGATTCTGCTCCTGAGTCACAACAGCCCCATGCAGAACTACAGGCTGGGGCAGAGTGGAAAAGGAGGAGCTGGGGGCTGGCTGCCCAGTGGAAAAGGACCTGGGGGGTGTTGGACTTCAGCTGACTGATTATGAACCAGTGTGTGTCCAGGTGGCCAAGATACAGGCCAAGTGGCATCCTGGCCTGTGTCAGCAGTAGTGTGGCCAGCAGGCAGGGCAGGGATTGTCCCCCTGTACTCAGCACTGCTGAGGCCACAGCTCCAGTGCTGGGTCCAGTTCTGGGCCCCTCACTGTGAGAAAGACACTGAGGGGCTGGAATGAGTCCAGAGGAGGGTGATGGAGCTGGGGAAGGTCTGGAGCACAGGTCCTGTGAGGAGCTGGCAAGGGAGCTGGGGGTGTTTAGCCTGGAGAAAAAGAAGCTTAGAGGAGACCTCATTGCTGTCTACAGCTGCCTGAAAGGAGATTGTAAAAAGTAGAAGTTTGATCTCTTCTGCCATGTAACAAGTGACAGGGCAAGAGGAGATGATCTGAACTTGTGTCAGGGTAGGTATATACTGGACATTAGAAAAAAAGTTTTTATAGAAAGGGTGTTTGAGCATTGGAACACATTGCCCAGGGAAGTGGCTGAGTCACCATCCCTGGAGGTATTTAAAAGACATGTAGTTGTGGCACTTAAGGACGTGGTTTAGTGGTGGACTTGGCAGTGCTGGGTTAGTAGTTGGACTTGATGATGTTAAAAGTCTTTTCCAACCTGAACAATTCTATGATTCTATGATTCTCTATGGTGTTACACCTCTCACATATTTTTTCTTATCACCTGTTTCCCCTGTCCCTTTAAAATATTCCCATTAAACACTTCCCTGCTCTTGACTTGATTCTTTTCTCTGAAATCTTTCACATCTTGCTGAAGATACCTCGGATAATCCTCACACGCCCTTCCACTTCTGATGAAGATGCTGACCAGTTGCCCCCAGACCCTGAAGACTTTGAGCCCGAGGAGCCTGACAGTGCAGAAGGTCATGCCTATTCAGACTGTCTGAGCAGTGCTTTTTATCCTCCCTAATAAAGTACTTTTCTGGTAGGAGTTCATGGGTGGTTTTCTTTCCCATTGTTTGATTACATTTAATGTAGTACTTGAACCGCTATGCCTTATTTATAGTGAAAACCATTATGTGGAGGATGGATTGGTGAGGAGAACCCTCTTTGTATTTCTTTGCCTTGAACTTCCTTCAGCAAGAACTTGTGAACCTGGAACGAAATGCACTGGGTCAAGTTTTGTGAATGTTACCACATGTTTCAGTAGCCACTTGTAAAGGTACCCTGCAGCACCTAAATGTAATGGAGAAAAAAGCAGGTGATTTTTATTCAGAAGGTACTTCACCCATTTGGAAACACACTGAAAACAATTGTATAATTGTGTGGGATTTTTAAAATCTTGTGTCCATGTTCTGTCTATACAGCTCATCCTTCTATATTTCCCCAGGTTCCTTTGATTTATCCCTTTTAATGTAATTTTCTATGATAATTAAAAAAAAAAATCTGTCCTGTTTTTTTTTTTACCCACTGAGAAATGTTATCTGTGTTGGAATTTTGTATCGCATTCTCTTGTAATAAAGAGCAGTTTCTCCAGTTATATCAGTAATGTGTATCAGATTGGAACAGGACATGTAAGTCGTATTGTATTAAATCCAAATGCAGGAGGCACCTTATGCAACCATGTACCTGAGAGTGAAGTGAGAAGCAATTTCTTATGCATGAGGAACTGTCTGAAATTTACTTGTTTCCCCTGACTTGCATATAAGCAGAACACTTCTAATTTGCCTTACTGCAGTATGCCTGTATTTCATGTATATATATATGTGTGTGGGTGTGAGGTAAGCATTTAAGAGCAAATTGTCCTGTACAACAGTTTTCAGTCCTTTAATTCTCTTCACTACTATTCAGTGCATTTGTTTCAAATTCATTTTAAGCTGTTTAAGAACTGTTTGGGACTGTTCTTTTTTTGGGGTTCCATGGTGCTGCCTTAACTCAGAGGTGGGGTCTGGCCCTGCTAGATTTGAATGCCATGACTTTCTTTTCATGTACATTAAGAGTGCATTGATGGTTTTTACGATGTTTATACAGTTTGTTTTCCTGTAAATGGGATATAGCACAACTCAGTAACCTGGCAAATTCTCATATTTTATTCACATTCTTGAGAAAGATTTTTCAGGTGATCATTCATATATAACTTCAATGAATGCTTTTACAGAATTAGAAAGTTCCCAGGAGGGTATGGCTGACACAAAAAGAACAATATCTCCTAGTAACAAAAGGGATGTTTTATTTTGAAAAGATGGATTTGCGCTAACAGTATGATATCAAGTCAATTGCATCCACTTTGTTTCTTTATTATCTTCTACATCTGCATTTTAATTGATAGCAATAGGAATATTAAGCTAACTTCATTCATTTGCAAAATGAACATTATCTTAGAATCTGCTATGACTGTAATATTAAAGACTGTATAATGTGCATAAGCATAGGCTTAAATGATACCGATAAATGAAATTTTATTTAAAATATTTGTTTCCCATCTCTTTTCTTCCTCCAAACTATACAGAGTTCTTCCACCATGACTCAATGTTTGATCAAGGCATGTTGCAAAATTATCAATCTCAGAACCTACAAATGCTTTGGCACTCTAGCGAGTAATGTACCATTTACTACTACTTTGTGTCTTACTAGACTGTAAAAAAACCCACAGACCCTCAGCTGTTATAAATCAGCCTTAGATTGCAGAACAAGTTGTAGTTGAAAGCTCATACAATAAGAGTTCTGTTGAGAACTTAGTATTTTCTTCATTTTTACTTCACATGCACAAGTGTTTGGTTTATATTTTCCATTAGATCTTGGAAATCAAAACATTTGCTATCAAAAATGACAAACTTTTAACCAAATGCTGTTGCCATTCAGATCAGTTTTAAACACTGAGATTTTTATCTGTCCTTCACTGATTTTCAAGGCAAATTTCATATTGCAGTTTTGAAAATTTTGCTGTGAGTATAAACTTACTGTGGTAACACTCTCTATGGACATGCAGCTCTACAAAATAATTTGAAGCCTATGCTTATTCAAACTTTCATTAAGGAAAAAAAATCAGTGGCAGTTAATTGTGTTTTGCCCTTGCTCTGTATAAGAGGGACAGAGGCAAATGTCAGATGCTGGTGTCCTTATCAGCACAGAGTAAAGTCTCTTGAGGCTTGGCTGTTTGATAAGAGTGGGCAGAGACAGAAGGTGGAGAGACTCAATGGGAGTTGGTCTGTTAATGAGAGCTCATATCCTGTATCCTCATTTCCTGCTGACCTGGGAGGTGACTAGAAAAAGCTACTGCCTGGCTATGGACTACTTGTTTTCTATGGGGAACAGACTTCTCCTCATTCTCAGCTGTCACATAATTTAAAAGATAGCTATGTAGGTATATAATGATTTATTAATGTATTTCATTAGCCCCATCTCATTATTGTTGCATCCATTACAGTGGAGGAAGGCATGGCAAACAGTACCAATCAATATAGGAGGGAAGATTTTTTTCTTTGTGTAACTAATCTATTGATGTATATTTTACAGCCCAGGATAATTTGGTTTGTTGGGATGTAGCAGCAATATTCAGGGACATCATCTATATAGCTGAAACAATGGATATCTGACAGAAGAGAAGTCTGTTGTTCCATTACTATCTGTACTCCTGGAGGACAGTAGATGTAGGACCTTGCCATAGCACAAGGATAGTCCACTTTAAAACCATTAACTTAAAAGACCTGCAAAGAGAAGAATGCATGTACAGCTTCCATGGACTGCCATGGTCAGAAAAGGACCTGAGCTCTTGGAATCAATTTACTGTAATGTTGAAATAACCTTCCTTGTTTTCATCCTCAAACATAAATAAACTTCTCCCTTGGAGAAAATTTGTCGAGGAGCCTTCTGCTCTCTGTACATGACATGTAGGACTCTGCTTCCTCACACACAAGCAGAGACTTGTGGTGCCTGTGCTGTTTTCCTTTTTCCATGCCTGCAATCTCCTGCTCTGTGAGTGTTTGCAGAGCCAGCGGGGTGGACCAGGGAGTGACAGCAGCAGCTGTCAGGTGCTGCCGCAGGAATGTGGACCCATCTCTCCTAAGGATCAGCTTCCCACCCTTGGCTCCTGGCTGCCTGGAAGGTAAGCCTGCTTCATATGCTGTCTCTGTAGCTCTGTCATGCTCCTCGTTTCTGCAGGGATCCTGCTGTGGAATACCAGCTAGAAATGCTGCTGGGGTTCTGTCTCCCAGGCATGTGCGTGTGACCTTGGGTGCATATGACCTGGGATAACACAGGGAATGCTTGCTGGCAGGGCACGATGGGGCTGAGAGAAGGGTGAGCACCAGAAATAACCTGGGAAGCTCAGCTTGTGCCATCTGCTGGACTGGCAGTTACTGAGGCACTCTACTGAATTTAGTGCCTGTTGTTCCTTTCAGCTTTTTGACTGAAGTGTGGGACAGAAATGTTAGAGCTTTAAATATCACTGTGAGAGTAATTTCTGTATTAGGATTTTTAACTGGTAAATGTGACTTAAGTTGATATTTTCAACCGAGTAAATTCTCATTGACCACATCAGGGGTGGAATTAATACTTCAGTTTAATTCTTATGGTGTGTCTGATGCTGAGCAAATAAAAGCTACAGGCTTAGGAGAGCAGTAGTTCAGATGTGTGACGTGTGGTGCAGCCACTGGCTGGCAGCCCTGGGCTACTGCTGAGCCAGGTTGAAAATGAAAACGTGCAAATTTAAAGAATTACAGGAGCCACAAAAGTGAAAACACAGCTGAGAGAGACACAAACTTCATGATTGCATCACAAGCATTCATTTGTTTCCTTCTCCAGGAATGGCAGATCAAATGAGCACAGAAAACACTTCTGTTTAAGTGCCTTATTTACACAATACTGTTATTTGGGATATTCAGCACTTCCATCTCACAAGAAAGCCCACAGCCCTCTCCTCCATCAGCTTCTTCTCTTGGGCTCTTGTTTCTCTTCTGCTCTGAGAAGAGAAACTGGTGTCAAGAGATGAGTAACTGTAATAAAAAGAAGCAAGTGGAAATAGCACAGTAATTTAGGCAATGTCTAGAACATGCTTTTTACTTAGCACCTGTTTGCTCTGTTTTCCCTTGTGAAATAAAACAGGAAATATACAGTTACTAACAGTGTCTCAGAAAGTTCTTAGAGTAGAATAACCATTATTTCTCTGTAGGAATAATAAATGTACACTCATAATTATATAAAAACAAATTCTCAGATGGTTAGGATCATAGTCTTTTCCTCAGGTTTGATGATGAAATGCCATGCTGAGCAAGGTATGGAAGATAATAAGGTGATGTCAGCTTTTCTGTGCTATCTCCAGGGTCCTTATATAATAACATTCAGGGTACAGAAGAACTCTGCATCCAGTGTTTCCTGGGCTCCTTGATTTTAGTGTGAAGTTTGATGTCATATTCTCTTGAATTCATAGCCTCTTTTTCACATTCCCATCTCCAATGTAGTTTGCTCCAAGTGCCTTACAGTTGCACAGTCAGCAGCATGATGCATCCAGAATATAAATTTTTATTCATGAGAAGTGGAGATTCTCAAATGAATGCTTTAGATGCTGTTACAAGAATGTTAAAGGGAAACCCACTTGTGAAACTACATACTCTTATCACTCTCTTATGTTAAAATTATTGAGTACAGTTCACTCCATAATCAATTGCTTGTGTCTTTCTGTAGTGATTGTTTTTGATATTAAAGGGTGAGCTGACACATGAAAGCAGTATTAGAACCTGCAAGTAAAGACTATAAACATATTTGAATATTAAATTTTAGGGTAGTTAGGATGAGTGCTAAGTCACATGCAGGTGACTCCCCTGGAAGCCACTGTTTGGAAGCCTGCTGACATCCAGGATCTCCCAGCTAGCAGAGGGACAGGGCTGGGAGGGCACCAAGCCCTGCAGGTGAATGAACCCACCTGAGGTGCTCCTGTCCTTGTCTGTCAATTAAAACCATTGCAAATTGACAGATTAAGGGGACTG